TACGGATAGAGAGAAATAAAAAGCAAAGTAAATGTTATTGCAACAAGAATGAAAATAGAAGCACAATTAAACTCAAGAGTGAAACTCTAGAGTGGAAGAGACAGCATCTTAGTTGAAAATTGAATGGTCAATTTATAACAACATGCCGGCCGATTTTATTCCCGATATTAAAATTAAACTGAAATGCATTAAAAATTGCATTTATAATTCCTTTGGTTTCGCATGAAGATAGGGACGACTTCATACTTCTATGGCTAGGACCTTGCTTAGTGGCCTGGTAATGAAACACACTTTCTGCTTTATGCATTAATCTTTCAACCAGCCATTTCGTATGAAACCCCTTGATTTTAATTCCTTTACATCGTATTGCAACGGCAACTAACGGCCCTAACGACCAAAGCCAAGCTTTCCGTTTATGGTTGTTCTCCGTCTCTGTAACCATCTTACGTAGAATAAAGACCCATCTCACAATTCGGGCCATGTTTAGGGCATAGTGGGGAACCAACCGGGCCTCCGGACGGGCGAAGGACCCTCCATGTACAAAGAGAGAGAGAGAGAGAGAGAGAGAGAGAGAGAGAGTAAGAGAGTGGGAGAGAAAGATAGAAAAGCGCAAAGTGGGACGCATGGTGACCCATTTATCAACGATAGCCCTGTTCCGTTTTACTTGGACACAGTTAAGGTTGCATGGCAAGGGAAAAATGGGAGGAAGCGAGCGTTGATTGGTTGCCGGGTTCGGTGGGGATGGGCCCCCGAGGACACATGCTTGACCTGACGAACATGGGGGCAGGTCTTGAGGCCAGAATGAAAAGTTGTACCAAGCTGGAGTTGATGTGTTTGCTTTACGTGAATTGAGAAAGTGGAAACTGGCGAAAACAGCTCTCAACTCCGAAGGAGGACGTAGCCAACTCAGGGACGCTAGCACAGACTAAGGAGCCCAGTTTCTGTCAGGCCGGATTTGTAGATCCTTCCATAAAAGATGTAACATTTGCGTGAGCCCCCAACAGGCCGTGGTTGGTCAGCCAGCCCACAACCGTCAGCAAGCTCTGCTTCGCAAATATGGGCAGAGCTTGACGATAGTGGGCATAGACTTGCGTGTCAGCCTGGCTTTTTCTCGAGGCGGGACCATAGCTGGAGGTGGAAATCTCAGACTGCTGCGATTAAGCACCAGAAAGGTTGAAGATAACCCATTAGGCAAATTTTTCGAACCCACCCTAACGAGAGTGTGGCCATAGACGATGAATTGGGATTTATGTGATAATCAGAAGCTTATAAAAAAGCTACGGACTAAGCAACCAGAACTTTTCTCGAAACACATTTATCATATCAATTATGCAGGTAGATATGTGAAATTTCAAAGATCCAATAATAGGCTTCTGACTCGCAAGAACTTTTCAATAATATTCCCCAAAAATCGTGATTAAAGGAATTTACAAAGTTGCGTGCAGTCTGAAACTTTAGGATAAAATGAAGTTTTACAGCTACTTACAAAAAGTGAGTAGTGCGTAGCGTTATAATAATAAGTAATCAACCACTATGTGCGAGAATGTATGACAAATTTACAATTTCTTAGAGTTCACTTAGACTTCGCGATAAATTATTGTGCGCCAATGCACACATTAAAAATAGAATTTTAAGTTGAAATGTCATATGCGACATTTGTGAAGAAAGCAGCAAAAAATGCTAAACATTCTCGATTTATATCCACATCCCATATGATTTTTAAAGTATCAAAGAGTAAGACCACGCCGAAGGAGATTACATAAATGCGATTATTTTCTTCACGGTGTAACTGTTTCGAGGGGATGTCACTTGGGCTATTACTACTTTTTACAGATGTACTTTGATACGGCCTTGACGAAGTCGTGTTGGACCGTCGTCTGTCATAAAACAAGCAGTCTAAACGAAAAACACCATTACCTTGACAACTCCAAGTCAAACGGATCGACAGGCTGCCCTCTTCACGTTATTTTCATGTAGCATGTCCTGAGACCGGATAGAAGGTATGGTTAGTTGTCAACTCGTAGCAGTTGTCAGGGCTCAGCAAGTTGAGAAGATGCCCTGTTTGTGGTGTTGTATTACAGGAAGCTACTGGATTTTGTCTACATGTCTTAGTGATTCATTTTCTATCTGTGCTGGCATGCGATTACTACAGAAAATGGTAAAAATGGACATTCGCAAGAGGTCACCGGAAAATGACTGATCCTATGTCTGCGACAATATCGGTGTGACATTCCCGAAGATACCAACTCCGACTAACAGCCACATGTAAGCCTCAAGTGAACTTGCATCATGTATCGGCACCACAAGTTGCCTCATCCGAACGAATGGCGAACATCGGAGGCAGTTACCGAAGTGGCATTATTCTGACAACCTCGAGATGTTGAGTGCATGTATCTCGAAGGGTCGGCTCCGCGAATGGTCATTTGTATGAGCCAAGGTGGCTTGGTGTTCGTAATGTGTCAGCGAGGAGGTCGACGCCAAGTCGAACCTGTCCATCCTTCAGCGCAGCAGCTGAATTTTGGACATTCACTGTTGTTGTTGACATTGTAAAAGAGCCTTGAAGAAGAGATTTATTTCCAGGTGTATTTCAACAGAAGACTACGGCAGATTCCTGTCGTTCTGAAAACGTTTGATTTTATCTTTACCTTGAGATTAACGTAGTCAACAGGACATACTGCTTCAGTTCGGGCCAAGACGAGCTTAGTATTAGTTCGTCACTTGTCAGACTTCATCAGACCTGAATATAAATCCCACCAAAGTTTCAATATATCACGTAAAACTAGCTGAAGCTATCTTTCGCTTATAAGTAGCGTTTCGAGATTTCGTCACTTTATATATATATATATATAGTATGGTCCCACTGTCAAGAACTGTGTTTATTTACTTAGCTGTGAAATATAAAGGCAAATTATACAATCTTGTTTAAAATTTATCACTTGAACAAAAATGTGTATTATTTTTTCAATAACTAATGAAATAGGCAACGTTACTGTATGTTAACTCTTACTTTTGGACCCTTGTGTACATATAAAAGATATACATGCAGACAACTATAAAAGAAATGCGAAAAAATCCGCCTTTTTATGCTAATTTATTTATTTATTTGTTTAGATGTGATATTAGGCTGCGTGGTAATCATCCATACCTATAACTAGTGGCTTTATATCCTGAATTACAGACATATAGACGAAAACATACACAAATACACACAAACATAAAGGAACTTGAAGTGACACAAAAGGGACCAACTAAATCATATGTATTATTTGTTTGTAAGTAGGTTTTCGATATATTTAATAAATAAAAAAATATCAGTTCAATTCCTTTGTATTTATGAATACGTATAGCGTTAAGATAGAGGAGGCTAGCATTTCGGACTTAAGATTCATCGTATTTACGCACGAACCGACGTAAGATGTCTCATGAACTGCGTCACACTGAACATGGTAGTAAAAAGGAATGACGACATAGCAACGAAAATCAGCTGTTGTATTATGGTGAGATCGAATTGTGAATCGCTTCATCGGATACATTGTATACGAACTGAAATGGTAACCTGTTGAAATTATACGCTGCGTTATCTGTGTTCAAACCCTATTAGGGGTGCTGATGAGACTCAGGCGAGGTCGAAACTGCAGTCCAGTCCAATATGGATGAGAATG